GTACAAATAACGTGTTCAAACGTGTACAAAATTTGCGGGTTGGGTAATTCTCGTCGTTCTAGCATGCAGACGACTGATTAAATGCATATGTAAGTGCAATTTGGTTCTTTTTTGGCGAGTGGACGGCGCGAAACAGAGACTTGTTTTCTGCCCGTTCCAGCGCGTCTGGCTTCCACTGCCCGGACTCCCTGAGTCTGTGTTCATTGTTGCTATGCCCACGTGGCTGCATTTACGTATTGTTACGTAAAAATATTTTTAGCGCAAAAACAGCGCAAAAACAGCGCAAAAACAGCGCGGTGTACATAAGGACAGTACGCAAAGACTTACGGAGTCCGGAGAGCGGCATCCAGACGCCCTGGAAGGGGCAGAAAACGAGTTTTTTTAAACGCCATTATCGCCCTTGCCGAGGGCGAGGTGGACATTGTCTTGCGAGCGCCGGAGATGGCGGAGGGCTGATAATTGTACGCAACTTTCATCGTGTAACGTGGGTGCCCCGGAGGCCCACAAAAACGCAAAAATAGCCGCAAAAGCCCTTTCTTCAAATTTGTGTTTTGGTGCGTGAAAGCGTAAAAGCAAAATCGTAAACGTAAGCGTAAATCCAAACCTGGCGCAAACAACAAGCCTGGCTGGCAGTGGGCGCCAAAGCCATCGCCAGTGAAAAAGCACTCGCATCCTCCTGCAACACGCTCCTCCAGCCTGCTTCACTTGGACGTCGACTATATAATGACATATAATGACTATATAATGCTTCACTTGGACGTCCACTACTGGAGATAATGACAATTATGGCTCATCACTGGTCGAAAGTAGTTGGAGCTGTACCAAGCCTGAAAGGCCAGAAGGACGAAAATGCGAAGGCGCCAAATTTTTGGACTTTACGAAGCTTTGAATTTTAAAGTAGTTTAGAAACATCGATAAACAAAGAGTCGCCAGAAGCGCTGTGAGGGGCTGCGCGGGTGTCCAGAAATGGCTCACGGGGACAGAAGCTATGGAATATACCCCGCTGTGTGCCGGAAATATCATATAAAATATAATATATAGTGTATAAAATATAATATAAAATAATTGAAGTGGCCAAATCGAGGGCGAGTAGGTCGCTGCATAAATTGTGCATAACAGCCCCATTGATCGGGATTGGGTGAAGTTTGTCCAATAGCCATTATTTCCGTACATTGAGTCATGAAGGGCACATGAATGCCATGAAGGGTGCGACGGCCCTGGTGCCATGAGCTCTGCAATGATCTTCATGACATTCATTCAAGGAAGTAAAGGGTACTGGAAATCTGCGGTTTGGATTCTTCCGTGCCGTTGCGGAGCCTTCGCGGTGGCCATGACGACATTTCCGCCGTTCTGGGCGACTTCCGATATCTCGGGCATTTTTGTTCATTCGGCGCACTCCAACTCGAGAAGCAGCGATACTGCTTGTGCTGCAATTGTGCGCTCTGATCGAAATTTTCACAAATAGTGAACTCACATTGTGCATCAATAACGTACCGGGCTAAGATTGTCCATCAAATTCATGGCGCGTTGGCAAATTTCTTCCAAACGGATGTGAGAAGCGAGATTGGAGCACGAAGCAAAACCACCAACGGCGCGAAATGACGCCAACGTAATACTTGCAGTGGTACTCTTTACATTTATTATCAATATATTCTACGTATTGTAACCTAAATGTACCCTACTTGAATTGCCGTTATTCTAGTATCTGAGATATGCCAATGCAGAATGTCAATATTATATAAATTATTAAAGCGCCTTGAACATTGGCCGCCCTTGTAGGAGATTCAGTGAAGACTCGAACACCTCAACGGACAGCGAAGTTGAGGTTACGTTTTCGCTCTTTGGCATCCTTGACCCGTTTCAGTGGCTGGCTTTCATATCGGTAAGGCAAAAGCCATCACGCATTGCTGCGTAAATCCATTCGGGATGTGACGCAATATGTAATTACAATTATGTAATTACAATTACGTAGTTACAGTTATATAAATACAATTACGCAATTACAATTACGTAATTGCGAGCTCAGTCTATCTAAAACGTCTGCTAACGTCGCCATCGGGGAGCCTCCAGAGGCCCCTGCTGTTCAATTGAAACATCCACAATACTTTTAGGGCTTGACTTTCTCGTAAAGCGTTATGGTACGCGCCCTTGCACGGAAAGCTTCTCAAGAGCTTCCATTACACGAGCATACTTTCCCATTCAGAGCACGGCCTTCCACCCCTCTTCTGCGTACCGGCGACTGAAACAGAAATAATTAATTGACAATTGTTCACTGGATGTCATTTTCAATGAGTCTGGTTAGCCATTTTGGTTTTGCTCACTGTTCTTGATCATCTTGCTCATGCATCTAATTTCATATTTTCTGAAGGAATAATTGTGTGGCATTAGTTACTAAGTGATTGGGGATAACGTAACCAAATAAATGCGTAATTATTGATTGATTATTCACTCATAAATGAAGTAGCTATTGATGAAAGTAATACATATGATGGACAGCGTACTCAGGGGAAACTTCTGTACTCTGCCACGGTAAAAATCTTCGCAACATTTGAACTAATTTCCCTGGAAGAAGAGGGAATTAGGCACGCCGGGTCTCATTACCAAATTGATATTTTTGTCAGGTAGTAATTGAAATCTAGATGAGCAGACACAAAGCGTGTGGAACTTGTTCCTGGGGGTAAGGATTCACCACAGATGCATCACACTCATCCTTACATAATACCCATGCTTTCGCACCAACAATTTAAACAACACCTCAAATACTTTCATGTCGAAATTCATAGTCACGCCAGAATTGATAAACACCTTCATGCGCATGTGCGGCAAATATTGCATGGCCTGCCGTTCAATACATTTTGCAATGGGCCCCAACCGACGGATTTTGGCGCCAATATTGACACGCTCCGGGCATTCCTGACAGGCTCTGGTTTGGGACGTGATCCATCCGACAGGCAGCTTCAGAACCAAATGGGACTTCTACATGCTCATATTGTTCATGTACGTGTGCGTCATTTCTCCCTATATCATCTGCTTTGGTGTGGACACGCCGCAGCGGTCGGCGCTTGGGGTCATAGAGAGCATCGTGGATTTTTCTTTCATTATGGACATCTACCTCAATATGAGGACCGCCTTTTACGGTAAGAGATGAGCGAAATATTTTGGTGAGCGTTGTAGCGCATATCGTCGAGGCTAATACGACATATAAACCAGTTTGAGCTTCGTAAATCCTTGACAGCGAGGGCTTGCGTATGTTTTCTCGTGTGCATGAGCGATGCCAATTCGACTTAAGATGTGACAGTGGATGTGCTCCTGAAAGCGCAGTGTTGAACCTAAATTTTGGACCAAAAGCCACATGCCCAACAGAACAGTCATTTGCATTCCAAATATTAATGAGCGTGCATACCAGGTGCTGTGTAATTGCTGGCGTACGCAGTGGGAATTTCGTGATTCAAAGGGATCGCCGTTATCTTTAGGTAATTTGTATGTTTTTTTTCTGAAATGCGTTTTACATCATGATTATATACAAAGCTCAACCGATCAATCAAACAATATATCCATCAAACAATATATCCACCTATCTGTCATTCAATCCTTCAGTGAATCAATTTATCCATCACTGAGTCAAAATACTGTATAACAGTACAAGATAATGATCGACGAACTTTCATTCCAATGGTAACTTCCATTCCAATTGTTGTTTGCAAGCAACAATGCGCATCTAAGAGAGCAGTGCCATTGACTTGCTCAGCTGAGACTCAAATCTCTACAGAGGCAGTGTGAAGCATCCGCTGAATGGCACTATTTCGCGTGCGCACCTCACCCAATGCCCGTCAAAAAATTCTCAGACTTTTGTTACATCAATAATCACGTTATTTCCTTGTTTTCGTTTTAATGCACTATTAAATGGACCAAAAACCTTTCAGCAACAACTGGCCCAAGTGAGTAACTTTGAGCACAGAGTTACATACTGCCTTTCCCCATACGATATTCGAGATGTGTGAAAGGTGGAAATTGCAGCGCTAAATTCCCAGAAGTGGGTTTTGGCATCATTTTGCTAGTGGTGACACCATTGCGCGCACCATCATAAACTGTTTATGGTTTACCGCAGCGACGGAAGATAACAATCGATTGTGCACCGACCGCAAGCGGATACTCGTTTTGTACGCCAGGACGTGGCTCGTCGTCGACTTAGTTTCCGTAATTCCCTTCGACAAGCTCGCGACTAACGACACATTGGGATTCGTCAAATTGTTCAAGGTGTGAATTGGCAATCGGAGCCTCAGTGCTCACAAAAATTGTTGATCGAAGCGCAAGTTTGTGTATAGTTTGATACAAACTTCTCAAACAACATGAAGATAGCAACTAATTAATGATCGTTGTTAACAATAAATGTAGTTCAGAAGCATGTACGTGAATATGAATGTCAAACACAGTCCATGCCATTTTGAAATGAGGATCTCACAATGTATATCAATATTTCACTTGAGAAGCAGTAGTGTATAGTTCTGCAGTAGAGTTTGCGAAGCAGTAACTGCTTTTCATTTTACTATCTACCAGAGATTTCCTCCGTTCCAGATTAAATTGCATTCGTGGACAGTGGCACTGGAAAACCTCAAAAAAATCCAATGTTTCGACAAAATTACCCTACCGATATTCATGAGACATAGCTATTAACTACTTATTAGTCCTTTGCATACATTATCATGTGAATGTAATATAATGTAACATAACATAACAACGATTGCACAATGCAACATTAGGTGTATTGAACAGAAAACATTGCACAGACAAATCATGCAATTGCTAACACTAAATGCGTCGAAAACGTCCAAACCTTCATTTGAAAAAGCGCGCCCCTGCTCTGCAAATATTCCCCAAAAAAATGAAGAGTTAAGTTACATTACTTCTTTACGATATAATCACGTGCTTCCGTTGAAATCCACCCCCCAAAAAGGTTACGTGCCGTTTCTGCGCAAAGCCGTGAATGCCTGACCACGCAGGCCACGCGCGTGGTCAAGCTGGTCAAGATCTTGCGCCTCCTGAAGATCGTCAAGATGCTGCGCATATTCAAGATCCCAACACTGCTGCGCCACCTGGAGTCGGTCTTCGGCCGCGGCTTCCTTAGGCTCACGACGCTCATGTCCGCCGCCATCCTGGTCACGCACCTGGTGGCGTGCTTCTTTCACTACGCCGCCTACCTGGCGGGAAAGGACACGGCCACGTGGCTGTCCATTGCCGAGCTCGAGGTGCGCAAATCGTAAGTCCGTGTGTGAATTCATTTCGAAATGGCTGCAAACACGTACTTCCACTTTTGAATGATGCATGGTCAGCGTTTGAAAATAGGCAAGAAATCCATGAGATTCCCTGCTGGAAAGCCGCTTGTCAAACCACTGTACAGAGGTTTCAGACTGGAAAGCGACTTTCCAGTCCGCAAGTTACCACAAAAACAATCGCGAAGGTTTTTATGTCGTGACTGCTTTGATTGGACGATAAAAGCTCATTATTATATGCCACCGCATGCTACTGTCCTGACACTGCAATCTGGTTGCTATTGTGATATTTTCGCTTCAATAGCACATGCTTGACTCGTGATCTATATTTTACTATTTAAACGTGGAGCACTCAGTTTGGGAATTCGAGCACCTGAACATCATTTATGCCTGTTGTTCTTGCTATCTTGGTCGACCAAGTACTGCAGCAGTGTGAGAGCGGCGCCAAGCAGATCCTGTTGCCTATCATTTTCAATACAAAATCACATTAATCATCTGACAGCATTTCCTGATGCGCGATTTGCAGAATGCGTCAAACTACGACAGATATGTTACTGCTCTCTACTGGTCGATGTCCACGTTGACCACCGTTGGTTATGGAGACGTTACGCCCGCTAATTCCAATGAAAAAATAATGTCGATGGTGGGAATGGTGGTGGGCGTAACGGTTTTCGCGTACTTCATGGGGTCCACGTCGTCCATGATGTCAACCATCAATTCAAGCAACACACGGCTGAACAGGAAGCTGCAGGTAAATGTGGAGTCTTCTTCGAGGCGTTATTTCAAGGCTTTGTTCCAAATTTAACCTAAATTAATCATGTTTTCCAAATGACAATGAATATGCTTTCTTCGACATGTAGATCATCGAGGGCACCCAGTGTGCTGATAACAAGTAATTTCGCAGCTGAAACCACGCTGCTTCAAGAAATTACGCAAGTTCTTGGGCTGCGCGTTTTGTTCATTGTAATGGGTAAAGTTGGGCTGTAACAAATCACTCACGCGCGCAGGAGGTGGAAGACTTTTTGGCCCAGAGGAAGGTTCCCGCATCGCTGTCGGACAGGGTAAGGTCTTTCTTTTCGTACATCCTCTCCCGGCAAATCATTGTGGAAGAAACAAGCATCATCAACGGTGAGGTGCAAATCAATTCTTTGAGCCCGCTAATTGAATCAACTGTCAATGAGTATTAGCTTATGGACCTCCTGGCTGAACTCAATAGCAAGCGAACACTCATTTATCCGCAGTCGACCAATAAATTTAATTTCGTCAGCAAACAGAAGGTAGAAATTTCTTCGCTTTATTTATTCGCTTCAGAGATCTCCAAGCGGTCAAACGCGAATCAAAGGGGCGAAATCAACGGCGCGTAGACCTGAGCAATCCACACGCGATGAGAATGGGCATGCAGTGGATGATGTGCGCGCTATAGAGCGGAATTCGTTAAACGCTTGAGACACTTTGGGATGCCCTTTACCAATTCAGGTTCGACATATTCTCAGGAAACCTGGTGCAAGTCAGTCATCGAGTACTCAACAGTACTGCTGCGCAGAACGGCAAAATCGTGAGCTCCTCGCCGGTGCTATTACTAAACGGACGCTTCACCTTCAGAGCAACATTTTGTTGTCATATAAATACAACTAATCTCAAGTGTTGTCAGCAGAACGTCACGTGGGGTAACCCACCCTAGCCCGGTGTCAATCGAAACTCCACATACACTAGGGAAAAAAGGGCCAAATAACACGTGTTCCAACGTGTACAAAGTTTACGGGTTTGTGTTATTTTCGTGTTCTTAGCGTGCAGAACTTTGATGAAGTGTGTTTTATGTGTGTTCGCAACAGTGCTATTTGGCCCTTTTTCCCCTAGTGATAAGTGCATAATTTCGCACAGAGCATGAGAATTCAATACCCCAAGGGCAACCCACTAAAGCTTGTGTTATTAATGCCATTATTGCTGTTCTAGTCAACAGAACGTATTGGTATAATTGGACAATATTTATTGCATGTTCAAGTGCATTCGAGTGAGTCGAGCTGAAAATTATCACCCCAAGCCCACTGCCGTACAGCTGATACAAGTTCAGGAGGTACATGTCGTGGTAATTGGTATCAATTGTATCTATAAAATTGCAATTGTGGCTTCACCAAAACAGTCAGAACTGAGCTTGCTCGTGTTTTGCCTGTGTTGCAGAAATGTCCGTTCCCCTCAGAACGGAGATGGTGATGTTCCTTTACCGCGAGGCCCTCCAGAAGCTTCCTTTCTTCCAGGGCAAGGACCCGCAATTCATCGTGCACATTGTCACCGCCCTGAAGCTGGAATATTACACCCCGGTACGCGCAAAAAGACTTAAAATATTCTCCATGTAATGCTCTGGATATAGTTAATTTATCTTCGCTGTGTAATGCTCTGGAACACGGCGTCCGCTGGGCATAAGCACAGTGGGCGCAATGTTCCCAGACAACGACTATATGGGCAGATCTGTAGCTCGCCGCTCCGAAATTATTACATGGCATTCTGGCAATAATTTAGTGCTTGAAAATATTACAACATTTTGAATTCTGAAAGCGCTACACAGCGCACACGTCCGAGAGGGTCTTGTCATGTGCCGTGAATAATCGTACTACTAGTAGCAGTAGTAGTTCTTTTCGATTTCTTTTATTGATGCACTTTTTTCTGTTTGTTTATTTTTTGTTTTGCTTGATTGTGTCTCTGTTATGACTTTAAAGAGATTCTTATCCTTTCATTTGAACCCCGGCCACAAACTGCGTCTACAAGTCACAAACTCAGCGTAAATTGACGCTTTTCTTCCTATATGGAGTAAGCCTTGTGATTTGACATATTTTACACCAGTTGTACGTACATTGAGTCAAATCGCTTTTGCATTACATACCATCAGTGCTATCAAGGCGCTCGATGCGCCCTCATTCAGATAAAGGTGAAATTCGCAAATTTTAAGCAGATTCCTGTCAATTAATGCTAAATTGAACAAGAAAGTCAGAATACGGATTATTAGGCAAATGACCTAAGCAACGCGACATTTGAACAGAGAACGTCAAACAAGAGTGGCAAACATAGGATACAATAAGAATATTATTGACCAAGGTGTTTGAGAAACATCAAAATGTATACAAAGCAATGCCATATAAGGATGTAAAAAAGCACCGAATGTTGAAGAAAAAGTTGGAACAAAATTGCAATATAAGCAAAGGCATTCACCTTCCGCAGGGCGAGGTTGTCGTGCGGCAGGGCGACCCCGGCAACGTCATGTACTTCATCGGCAAGGGCCGCCTGGAGGTGCGCCTGTACTTTAGCAGCAGCACTGAGGAGAGCGTGCGCCACGCGCTCGCCGACCCGGACGAGAAGGCCAGCGACGCACCCATGCTGTCTCGGGTGACCATGAAGCCCATCGTGGGTACGGCCAGCTACGATTTCATGAGCGCCAAGCGGCGCAACAGCTTCATCGGACCGGCCGAGACGTACAAGAAGCTGGGAGTCCTGACGGCAGGGGACTACTTTGGGGAATACAGCTGCCTTCTGGGTACGGCGGGCTGATTGCTGCGCTTACGTCACCACTTCAATGTTCGCCTTTTTACGCTGAAATACACACAAACACAGAAACGGCTGTTTTTCGGCTTATTTTGCATGTTTTTATGGCGTGTTGAGGCACCCAGGTTAGATGATGAAGTCGCAGATAATGATCAGTCCTCCGCCCCCCTCAAAAACACCCGCAACACAGCGCCCAGCTCACCTTCGGCAAAGGAAAGGGCGTCATCAAACAAGGTCGTGTCCTGCCACTCCAACGGGCCCGGCTGCCGCTCCTTGGGCTCCCTGTTGCCAAGCTTTTCCTTTACGCCGCAAATCTGATCGTATTCACATTTTCAGGCGGTAGAACGCGTAAAATTACGTAAACACAACGTAAACACAGCCACGCGTACACAAGGACAGCACATTGAGATTTGGGGAGTCCGGGGAGTGGTATTCAGACGCGCCGGAATGGGCAGAAAACGAATCTTTCTTCCATGCCGTCGCTGCCCTTGCCGAGAGCGAGTTGGACTCTGTGTTGCGGGTCACTAGGAAAAAAAGGGCCGAATAACACTTTTGCGAACACACAAGAAACACATTTCATCATAGTTTCACACACTAAGAACACAAAAATAACGCAAACCCGTAAACTTTGTACACGTTTGAGCACGTGTTGTTTGGCCCTTTTTTCCCTAGTGGGTGCTGGGAATAGCGAAGGACTGATCATTGTACGCGGCTTTCATCGTGTAAACTGGGTGTCCCAACGAGCCGCAGAAACGTAAGAATGGCCTTTCGCAAATTTGCGGTTTTTGCGTGTTAAAGCGTAAACGCAAGAACATAAACGTACACGCAAAAACCAAGCCTGCCTGGGGATGCGTATGGTGTCTTGTGTACACAGTTTCTGCGTTGACGTAATTTTACGCGTTTTCGGGCGTAAAAGCGCAAATAGTATTTTTGCTTGCGCGCAAATATGGCTAAATACACGGCGTGTACCCCGTGATGACAAAGCGTAATGCATGCAAAATATTGCAAAGTTGATGAGGAGATATGGCGCACCAGTCTCATCACACAGGCGAAGGCGCACAAGGAGCTGGGTGTACTGTCGGTGGGGGAGTCCTTTGGGGATCACAACACGTACTCCGGAGTACATCTGCATGCTAAGTAGGCAGTATATCGTAACTGTATCGCATCGCTATCGCAACCATACGGTTGTGTGTTGGATAGGCATCTTACTGTGTGGCTGAATAAATGAAGGGAGATGGACAAAACGTGATTGAATGTCAACCGGGCGCCTGGTATGGGGATGTACGGTGAGTCTGGTGTTCTTGAACAGGTTCCTGTAAATAAATAAACAAAAAGGTAAGTAAATGAATGAACAAATATACAAAATGAAGAAACAAATATACAAAAAGATACATAAATGGATTATCAATTAATAAGTAAACAAACAAATAAGTACTTAAATGCAAAAAATAAGCAGATGCATAAAATTTTATGCAAATGTTGCACATGGCACACAACCGACAAGCCGCCACGGTGTGCTGCAGGGGAGTATCGGACGGCTACGGTCGTCGCCGACAACTTCTGCGAGCTCTACTCGCTGTCTCGGGCGGACCTAGACGACATACTCGAGGACCTACCAGAATTAGGAAAGGAGTTCCTGAAGATGGTGGACAAATACATACAGAAGGGTGTGGTGGACGTCCCGGGACTGAGGCCCAAGAAAGTGGGGTACTTTGGTCCTGACTCGGAAGCGTCCGTCCGGCTTGAGAGGTGCAAGACGGAGCCCATCATTAATTGTACTAATTGTTTCACAGTTAGTTATGTTAATTTTGCTCCACAACATTCCAGAATATTCTGGAATATCGTGGAACAGACTTTGGAGGTGGCAAGTGAAGTGTTGCACCAAGTTCGGCGCCACGAGCGCAGCGCTTGGGCCTGGTTGGCTGAGCCAGATATGTTCCCCTTGCAGCCACATTCAGGGCAAGTGGTTAGAAAACTAAACCACTGAACAGTGGTTGTTAAAATTAACAACTGACCACTTCATAGACAAAACTAGTTACGTTGACTTGAGCAACTTGTAACTTGAGCTCCATTTTTTGCATTGACCCCGCACCTACTTTGCCGGAAAGGGCGTCTGGCTTGTTTCGCCTTGCTGGAAAACAAAAAAAATTAGAACCCCATCTGTCCGTTAGTTCAGCGTCAGTGCTTGGAGGTAAATGGTGGCGCTGTGGCTGAAGGGGAGTCGTGGCAATTAGGCCCCGCATTGAAAATACTCGTCACCATTCGGTGCAGTGCTGTTATCGTGTTGTAGAACAGCACGCAATATCTGATTTAAACAAATTCCCAAGATTTAAACACAATTGATACTGCAAGCAGCGCACACCACGCTGCAAATGACCCACATGATGTATCTGCACTCAGTTTGAAGTCAACGGGAACATTTTATTGCTTTACCCATACTCGGTTACTGACAACACACCAGGAGAAAAAGGGCCAAATATTTGAATAATCACACGTCTTCAGATATGTGCAAAGCTTACGTATTTGGGTTATGTTTGTGTTTTTGGCATGCACAACGCTGATGAAATGCATGTATGCGTTTTCGCAAAAAGTGTGGTTTTGTCCTTTTTTCTGCTTGTGGCAAATTGAACAGATTTGTGCCAAGTTTCGGTGGTCAAACGTTTTCCCTCCCTTTCAGGAAAGACAGCAGCGTCGCCGCGAGGGCAGCGTCGCGCAGGTCCCTTGCATGCAAACTCATTGAAGCCCAAGGGAACAGAATGGGGCATCAGAAAGTAGATCTCTCCGAGAGGCATGCCGGGGACGGCACGGGAAGCTTGGTGGGATCGGGGATCTGAACGGGATCAGATCACCTGATTTCAGCGGCAGTTTCGGCACTGCTCCTTAGCGCCCGCCAGGACTTCTGACGGAACAGTGGTCGAGATGGGGCCTTGGTGCACGTTGAATGTGGGATTTGGCAATTTAGCGATTCAGAAATTTAACAATTTGAATATAGTAATCTAAATTTAACAACAGGGCAGTGACGGTCGGGTGGCGATTGGAGTGGACACCGTGGTGCGCCTCGCAGGAAGCAGCTGGGTAAACAATGGCAAAAGGCGGTGCGTATATACTTGTTTGTCCCTCTCCTTCATGAAAGGATGCCGCAAGCCTCCACGAAAAGCTTGAGAGCAGGTGCCGACGGGATGAGAGTTGCACCAAGAGTGTGGGCCTAGCCGATTTGAATCAAAACTAGACCAAGGAATTGGATGTTAGAGTGTTTTGGACCCTGATTTCACTGGTACAGGCTGACGTGGTTTTGCGCCTTCGAATTCGGGGCACGTTGAACAGTGCCAAACGTCGCAGTGAGCAGCAGCACGACAGAGAATTCTTCCGATTAAAGAATAGATGCGTGACAATAAAAATGTTAGAAAGTGCCATTCATTGTGATTTGGGGCTTGAATATTTGCGAGGCTCTGCACCTCTCTGTACCGACTTCAACGGCAGGATGCCGGCCACATCCGCTTTTTTCACATTTCGCTTTTTTAACCACATGTTTAAAGAGAGCTTGCTTATCCTCCCAGTGTGGAAGCGGCGAGCTTCTTCAACAGTGAGATGTGCTGGCGAAAGCGCTCAGTATAAGTGCGCGCACGGATATCACTAATCAAACCACTGTACCACTTCCACTATCCGCACATCCTCCCCAAAGAGCCCGAGCGCCCCCTTGGTGATCGGCAACAATCGACCAGCCATCACGGTGCAACCCACACCACGGCTCGACGGAGGTCATTTCCCTGGGAATCTCCACAGCGTCGCCACTCAAAACACCTCACCACAGCTGAATCACATGTTGTGGGTGTGTCACACCTTCCAAGCGAGACGCTTCAACTTGCAATTTGCAACCCCGCCCGCTTCACGTTGCGATGCCAAAGCCAAAGCCTCCACAAAAGGTGCAAGTCGGCACGGAAAAGGCGGCCCCACAACCGCAAAGACCACGCATCCCCGCCCTTCCTACCCACACTTCCACCATCAGTCATCATCATCAAGAGTTCTTGCATATCAAGGCGGGGAGGCAGCCAGCAGCTCCCCATGAGTCCCACCATCAGTCACACCGCCTCACGCCATTCCCCTCACAACTCAGAAATTAGACGGGCGCCCGTGCCCCAGTTCTCGCCCCTTGTTTGTGTAACGAGGGATTACGCCACCCTCCTCACACACTCGACCCCTCCCATGAAACTGCCCACCACTAATTCCAAAGGTTCCCCTAAAACTTCCCAGTAGGAACGACCCCACAGTAGGACCGCGCCACCCAAATCACCCCCACCTGGGCTTCTCCTTGGGCTCTCGCCTACCCGTTACCGCCCCACCCCCCCGCTGAGCCTCGGCCCCTCTCCGCCCATGCTCGAGTCCTTTTGAGCTCCAACCCCCCACGCACACAGACGCAAACACTCAAAGCCGATCGCATCGTCCAGGCGCATCAATTCGAATCGATCAGATCGCGGTGCCCTGCTGGGCGGGCGGGGCGCCGCGGGGAAGGGACAGATGCCGTCGGTCGGCGCACGGGAGGACCACCGGCGGGCCGGGTCGATCGGCTGGGGGCAGGCGGGGATCTGCGGCGGGGGCGGGGGGATGATGAGGAAGTATCCGATCCCGAGCGGGCCGGACGATTGGGGAAAGCTACCCGAGGAACAGGTGGGCGTGGGAGGAGGCGGAGGGGGGGGAGGGGAGGGGGGGGCGCCGGGGACGGGGAGGGCGTCAATATGTGTTACAATCCCGTGAACCAACCACAGTCATACACAGGGGCACACCCTCCTGAGCAAGTATGCGGCACGCCCTGTTCCGCTTTGCAGCGCTGTGGGTGCCATCGTCGACAAGAATGAAACCGAAGGCGGGTGTACGTGCGCCGAGATGTTCATTGCGTCGTTTCTGCGTTTCTGTCTTTCTGTGTGATGGTTGGAACAGTGGGGAGAGTGGGACGGCGGGTTTGTGAGGGTGCGGGTGCGCGCGGAGGTTGCCTGGGATCTTGGTTGGAGGATTGGCCCCGTGGGGAAGGGCGGCCCGTTGTTGGCCGTGGTGGCCAGTTGGGGCATTTTGGGAGCTACGGGAGGGTGGGGCGAGGTTGGGGTTATGTTGAGGCAACCCGCCGATCGGGACGGCCGCTGGCTCGGAACGCGGCGTGGCGCGGTCGGACGGTTGAGTCTGGGCCGGCGCGGGTTGGCCTCCGGCCCCCCGTCGTGCAGGCGACAGCGTCAAGCAAGCCCAACTCGCATTCTGGTCGTATTGTGAGATGGGCCTCGAAGTGTGGAACGGGGATGGTGGCTCGCGGGTGTGGGGCGTGGGTGCGGGGTTGCTGCTCGCGCGCGCGGGGGCGTTGGGGTGGGAGGTGGCGGGATTGATCGCGGCTGCGCCGCGGCTGTCGGCCCGCGCGGCGGGCAGAGGGGCGATCGCGCTGCGCCGAAGTCTGAGGCGCTGAGGGACGGCACCACGAGAGTGTTCCGGTGCCAGGATCTGCGCAATTGGGAGGGCGGGAGAAAGGGGTGGGGGGGAGTGCGGGGTCTCTGAAGGGTTTGGGGTCTGTTGGAAGGGGACAACAGGGTAGGGGAGGGAGGCTGACGGTCGCATCCCTGGCTTGAGGGTTTGTAATCAGTCGGTGACCAGTGCAGGTCGGGCTTACGGCCGTGGGGGGTCAGGCGGAGAGCCGGCAGGGGGTGGGTGGGAGGGTAGATGTTTAATACCTTAAGGAAAAGTGGTCGTGCTAGGGGCACCCTCTCCTGTGCCACTGTTTATGAGACTCTTTTCCATGTTGTGGAAAGGTGACATGAAGTCTTTCAGTGCAGGAAGAGGAGCGCACACAACGCAAGCAGCAAGAATTGAAAGAGAATGTCAAGTCAGGGGGAGGGAGGGCGTTTCGCTTCTGTGTGCTCCTGCATGGGCTTGTCAGTGGGTGGACTGCTTGGAGCTGGTGGCCAGACAGTCTCTGCTGGCTTGTTGCCTGACGTTTGTATGGTTGATGGTGTGCTGACCGGGTTGTGCTGTGCTGCTTTGCAGGACAAACTGGTGCAGCAGTTGAGGGAGTCGCTGGAGGCGAGGAATGCTTTCGATGAGGAGAAACATGGTGAGAGGGCGCTCAGAAGCGAGGGCCATGATGTGATTCGCTGAGACAGGAGAGCATCCAGCGATAATATTGTCTGGGTGGGACGACTTGATTGGACCACCTATGACAAGTGGAACAAAGAGCTGACGGTGGAGATTGTTGCAAGTGTGGAGCAACATGGCTCTTGTCTTCAGGAACAGAAAAATGATGGAAAGGTTGACTGGTGAAATGAGGTGGTTTGGTGTCACCACTGGTGCCAAAAGCAACAACAAAAAGTTTTATCCCAAGCGACAGGGTCATGATTGCTTGAGCAGCAAACAGGACACCCAACTTTCCGGGGTCAGCACCAATTTACCTTCTTGTTGCCCCCCACAACTCAAGCACCATGGATTGTGGCTTGGTGCTACAATGTGCACCAAGGATTGTGGCTTGATGAATGAAGGATTGTAGCTTCTGCCTCTAGGCCCAGAACAAGCTTCACTTGTCCAGGGTGGCTGGCCTGCCTTTTGTGCTTCTGTGCGTTTTTGTTGAGATGCGCTTTTGGGCTTCACAGCACTTGGAGCACTGCACTATAGCAGGAGTGGACACAAGTCTTTGAAGCCTCACAGTACCACGGGGCCTGATGGCAGTAACAAACGCAACAAGCGTGCAATTTTAATGCTTGCAAAGACAGCTTGGCACACTGTTGGCCAGAATGCGCCCTTGTTGCAAGAGTCCAAATATAGCATCAGAGCCTAAAACCATGACTGTGCCAGGCAGTGGAAATTGTCACGCACCATGGTCACTGTTGTAAGAGTCAAGAAGGGCTGCTGGAGAGAAAAGCAGCAACAGGAAATGAGCCCCCTGAGATGAAGGCTGTTGATAGCCAAAGCCTGCTGTGCAGGGTGGGCAAAAGGTTCCAGTCTATTGTTGTTGCTTTCAGTGCCTGATCCTGCATCTCATAGAAGTTTAAGAACTTCATTGATCTTCTTTTGGGCTGGCTTTCATCAAAGAATTGGCCCTTCATCACCCTGTCACCCAAGTACTAATTATCAACCCGAATCCCAGCGCGTCTGGACAAATGAATCAAACTCAGTGTCCAAAGCACAGTTTGCCAACGTTTGACTCCAGTGCAAAGTTGTTAAGCTGATCTGTTTGAAAAGCATATGATAGGGAAAGTAACCCCCTTTTGGCAAATTGTGCAATTGATGGGGCGATGAATATTCGCCTGGAACCTCTTTGTGCAGCTGGCTCCCTTGGACACTCAAACTCGATATGCTGGAAACACTCTATTCGGTCCTCGTTTTCATTGGAACAAATGAAACTGAATGTCCTTATTTCATCAAAATGGTCTTTTCCAACACAGAGAAACGGTGGATGGATGCCATCAGTGCCGATCGTTTTCCCATGTTGTGTGTTCCAGCAGAAGTTGTGTCCAGAATAGGTGTTGTCTTGCAGTTAATTCTGTACACCACCGATTGAGACCAATGGGTACTGGTGCACCCATCCAGTCAACACTTCATTTCCTGAGCAGATGTCCTTCTTTCTCACTTTGCTGTTTCCTACCATCTCATGAACTCTGCCGTGCGATTTGTGATTCTGACTGCACCATCATGGGCTTGTCTGTTCTGGTATAGTTTCAATGTGGTGCAGGTAGACGACACTGTCCCCCCTTTTGGAGTGGGGGTGATGTTGTGCTCTTGTTGATAGACTTGCAACACGCACCGGAGACAAGCACTCTCGATTGTTGATGCTGCATGTATTCAGGCCAACAGCAGCAACAACAAAACACAAAAAATGCTTGCAATGCAGCAACAGCACACCTCACTTGCTTTCTCGTTGTTTCACTCTCTTTCTCTCTGCGATGCAGACTATGGCATGCTGCTGCGATTCCTGCGTGCCCGTGACTACGACATTAGCAGGGCAACCAGGATGATGCTCGACCACCTGCAGTGGCGCCAGGAGAACCGGGTGGATCAGATTTTGGACGAGTTTAACTTCACAGAGAGGGAGGAGTTTCTGTCGACCTATCCGCAAGGATACCACAAAACCGACAAACAGGTGAACCATTGGCCAGAAACTTAAAACAAGCTTTTCGTCAAGTTTGTAAAAATCAGTACTAAGTACCTGTACTGTGCTTGGTGCCCAGTTTCTTGTACTTGTATTCAGTGCCAAGTAATTTGTACTCTGTACTTGGTGCTTTGTACCTGAACTTATACCTGCTTGCCCTAGAGTGTGTTTTGATGCAGTAATGCAGATAATTTGTGCAAGGCCATTGAGTGTGACAACATGATGGCCTACGCTGGCCTCCTCTAGGCTTTTTGTTGTGTACCTGAACCCTTGTCCCCCTTTCACCAAATAGCTATTCACCAAGGCGTATGTCCCCTACAAGTGCTCAAATTCACAACTTCAGCGAATTAGGCTGCTTTTCTTTCTGTGTCCTCACGATTGTACTCATACTGTCTCAGTCTGTTGTATGTTGTATTGTGAAGCTCAACAGTTAGAATTATGGAACAAGGATCTCACATTCTTCATTTCAATAGCAGGTTACTCTTGCAAATGGCAGTGCCATGTGTCTTTAACTCTCCACAACAATGTTTGGATCTCTTGTTGTTGCCTTTTCAACATGCAAAGTGTCTGTCTGCTGCGTTCTGCGCCAGCTTACAGAAGTCTGTTCCCACAGGGCCATCCTGTGTACATCCAGCACCTAGGGAACATTAACCTGACAAGGATTCGGGAGGTGACAACAGAGGAACGAATGCTGAAGTACCACATACAGGAGTACGAGCGCTGCCTCAAGCACATCTTCCCGGTGTGCTCAAAAGTGTGGAATCGACAGATTGACTCCACTTTTGCAGTCATGGATGTCAAAGGTGTGGCCCTGAACCCACTCTACCCTTGTTCTGGATGTGAGGTGTTTCAGCATTTGTAATTGTTGTAGATATTCCGTCACACTGGAGGGCCAAGATGTGGCCCTGGTTCCTGGAGAATGATTTTGCCCTTTGCCGTGTTGTTAAGAATGCAACTTGATGCACAGCCCAAGGCCAACGCTTGTGTGTTGCTCACGTTGGTTGTGGCTATAACACTATAAATCGACTTGCGTGCGATCTGTGCCACATTGCAACAGCAAATGTGTGCCTGCCTTGGCCTGCCTGCTGGCAAGGGAGAAGAACTGTACAGTAGTGTTGCCCCCGCTGGCTGCCTTTCGTGGCCATGCTTTAGTCCCATAACTGAGCCACTTTTAGAGCACCCATGCAGTCTGCCCTGGCATTTATCTCCAGTCTTCAGTCCTGGAATGAAAGGGTCACGTGCATTCACCTTGGTCCCTTGTTAGCAGTGTTTCTGCTTTCCCTGCATATGCCGTTTAAGTATTCATCCAAGACGCTTGAAGCTACCTGATAGACGGAAAAGGCAATCTCGTGGTGCACCTTGACCAGTTCAGTCAATGTTTATTGCACCACGAGTTTTATTTCATCAGTTGTGCATAATGTTGCGGTATCTATTCAAAACGCTGTTCATTCCTGTTTTCTAGTCCAGCCCTTCCCATCTTTGATTCTGACTTGCTCAACACATTCAAACATCCTTTCAGGCCCTCTGGAAGTTTTGGAAACCTCCAATTGACTTAAGGTTACGAATTTGATGTCCGTTCAAATGTCATTCTCTGTTGCCTGCTTTTTTGGGGGGAAGATGACCCAGAATGTTCCATGTTCTGTCAACGGCAGCACCCTCCTTGCTGGTGAAAATGGAACTGAAAATATTGTAAGTGGTACATTTTTTAGTTCCTTTGCCACTCAGTTGGTTATGCATGTTGTATGTATTTATTGCTGTCTTTGCTAATGCACAACCCCAGCAGCTTGGTACTGTTCAGTAATGGACAGACAGAAACTGTAGAATGGACAAGCTTGGCCACTGCCACTGCCTCTCATCAGTGCATTTCTTTTTCTACTTGCAGGGATTGGCTTCTACCACATGACCAAGGAGGTGCGAAACGTTCTGGCAATGATCATGAAGGTGGACTCAGATAACTACCCCGAGACGTTGTATCACACATGCTTGATCAATGCGCCTGCGACTTTCAGGGCTGTGTGGGCTGTAATAAAGCCCATGCTGAACAAACGAACACAGGACAAGATCGAGGTGAGTAAATTGATGTGCGCTGCGACTTCATTTTGCAAATGTTCGAATGTGCATTGTGGTCAGCAACAGCAGTTGCAATCAGCAGCATGACTGGCACTTGCGATTGGCATCAGCAAGTTCAGTTGCTGTTGAATAGTTGCAGGTTGTGTAAGTTGATTTTCGGTGTGGAACTGTAGCAGGAGTTGCAAACTGTATGGTGAGTATCACTGTTGTGCATATTCAGGGGAGATAGTTTGGAACTGTCAGTAGGCATGATTGAAAATGGTTTAGACAGTTGGGAAGTAAACAGTGGTATGAGAACTTGAGCAGGTCTGAAATTTTTTCAACGGATGGCTTGTTGCTGGAGGCTTGTGTGTCCTAGGCCCATCGTGCAATGCCTTCAACTAGGCTGAGTTTACCTCAGCTGAGGTGAAGCTGGCTGAGTTTGATCAAAATTCTAGTTTGAATCAGTACAAAGTTTGTAAGGCTGCTGGAGGTAAGAAGTAGGCTTGCCTTGGGTACTACCTGCTCAGCTTCAAGGGGTGAGGTTCTTTGTGAACTTCAAATTCTACACCTGAGTTGGAGTTCACGGAATCACGAAACTTGTTGTTCTTGTGTCTCTTTTAACTAAATTCACATCTATTCAAGTGTCTTGTTTATGTTGATCTCAAGAATCGCTCTTGGCTCCCTGCAGGTGTGCCCTAAGGATTACATGCCCTGCCTGAAGAAATGGATCGATGAGGAGAACATCCCTGAGTATCTGGGGGGCAAGTCCAAGGGCACCCTCATCGACGACGTGGGCCCGTGGCATTCAGAGGAGCCGGTGAGAGAGGTTGAGATGGAGAGACCTGGTGGACAGGGGGCAGCGGAGGGCGACATTTCGGCGCGGTCTGCGCGGCACGACGACTGGACGCCGATGAGGCAATCCAGCACACTGTCGAATGCCACTGGTGCGTATTATCTTCTTCCAACGCCCTGCCTCCCATGTTGCAGGAGTGTGGATTGTTGTTGCTGGTTGAGTTGTGTGGAAAGGCATTGGCAAATGACACTGTTTCTCAATTCCTTGCTTTGCTGTGTCCAATATGCACACTCTTTGGAAACTCACCTTGAAAAGGAAGGAACAAATGGTTGTGGAGGTACCCACAGAACGACATCTATATGCGCAAAGCTCAACGTGCATTTGCCAGCATGTGCAAAACACTCAAAGCGGGCACCACAGTGGGGCCAGCTGTAGGGGTGGGAATGGAAAGGGGGGTGCGACTTGTGGACACACAGCAGCAATGCTGCCATCGTGGTCAACTTGAGCGAAGTGGCGATTGGACAAGCAAGGGGTGTCAGCCAAGCTGGTGGAAAAGCGAGTCAGAGATTCATCTTGCATACGTTGCCAGCATCTTTGATTTTGGGGGCACGTGTAGGGGAAGGAAGGGTTGGACGATCAAAGAGAACATACCTTGTGCCCATGCTGGCTGACCCCTGTTTGTGCTTCCCCAGTGTTTGAAGATGCCATCGATCGAGAGATCGACGACTTGGGGGTGGATGACAGCATTCCAGCGGTGGGGCACGGAATGGATCCCCCGACCATGTCTGAAGCGACAGTGTCCACGAGTGGGACCCCCCGTCGATCTACCGCTTTGGCAGGTACGTTAAACCTGTTGCGAATTGGAATAGGGACAAAAGTGTAGAAGCGAAGAGGGCACAGGCAGATAACCAGACATACGATACCAAACATGATATGACACCAGACATAATATGAATATGTGACCATAGTTGCTTGCTGAGCTGTGCTAGAGTCTGACCAGCGGTCCTGACCACAGTAGGTGCAGCAACGCTTCGTAGACAGCAATAGGAACTGAAGAAGAGAGTGAAGAATGGCGGTGTGTGCCGACATGTGTCTGGCTGACAACCATCAACATGTGGGGCCCATGCACGTTGTCAATAGATAGCTGCTGTGGATTGACTGTGTTATCAACATGGTAATCAACACTGATGCTGGTGTACGCCATGTGTGAACAATTACACGGCAACAGTATTGTTGGTGTTTGTTGTACTGTTACCGTTTTACCGTTGATATCTTGATTCTCCAAGTGGCATTATTCATACTGCATGGTCAGAAATCTGCCATGCATGCCCTGTGGTTTTGTACATGCTGTTTTTAGCCCTGGACATACCATCGGGGCCCCCCGTGAGCATCTCTGCTTGCCATGCCAGTCAAGCAGCCTGCAACCTGCTACAAGCCAGGATTGGAGCCTGCAAACGACGTACCGGGAGAATGTGCCATTGCCTGCAGTGCTGGAGTGCAGGACAAGCAACAAAATTTGCACAAAAGGGCATATTCAATGGAGTGTTCCGAATGGCACACTGAAAATGAACAGACTATGAAGTATGCAGTTGATAGTTTACGTTACTGGTAATTTAAAATTTATGTGCACAGTTGAATGGGCCACCACTGTGGTAATTGTTGCTGCCTGTTGTCCTGTATCTCTATAGTTTCAGTTCTTGTCAGTGTGTGGAAGCATGCTAGAATGCTGGCCAATGCATGCCAATTGTTCTGGTGCCAACATCTCTCAACTTTGTTGCCGCAGCACCTGGTGTACTTCATCGCCTGGCATTCTCCTTATCAGGCGAGAAACCCACCCGTAACCCCCTCTGCCTGCCGGCCAGCCTCTCAACATTGTGGAATCGCCCATTCCACACAACTTCATCCATCTGTTGATTGCTGTAGATTGTATGCCCTTTCAGTGTTAGACCCTGCTGTTGCAAACACAGCCAGAACCCCACATCCTGTGGGCCTTTCTTGCTTCCTGGCCGGCTGAACCACCTCTGCGGTTGCATTGATCCTGCACCATGCCATCCCTTTAGTTGTCTTTCCCTGATAGGATGACTCATCCTCCCAAGCTGGAATGAGTTGTGGGCCAGTTGCACGGCTGGACTGCTCCTTGTCAAATAATTCCAAGAATAGGATGTAGGCTTCAACACTGTGGACCCAGTATGGTGAACATATGTTGCTTTATCCTGCACAATAGCCAGATGAACTCCATCAGGATTGGGTGTTGCAAGTGTCAACCAGTGCACTGGACACACTTGATGCATTGATGGATCATTGTAGCTGTGTTGGCTCATGACTGCAATCCACCGTTGACAATGCATTCCATGCCCTGTGCTTACCATGTGTCGCTGACCCTGCACTGCTGCTCCTGTCTCCAGCTCGCATCCATGACCTGGAGAGTCGATTGCCGACCCAGGTGGCGCGATTGAGGAGTCGTATGGGGCGGGAGGACAGGGAACGGCTGCAGTACTTTTCTTCAGCTCCTCGGGGATCCCTGCTGGGAAGAGTGGAGGTGCTGGAAGAGGGCATGGAGCTCCTTTTGGCTGCACAGGTGGGCATTCCATTCCTTGCAGTTTTGACAACATATTCATTTTTGGTTTTGTTGATCTGTTAGTAATTGTATCTTTGTCTGTTTATGTTTGTCTATGCCCTTATACACTTCTACATCTCTTGTATTTCTTGGCATCGTGTTGGTTGCATTTTGTTTTATTCTGCTGATGCAGTTTGTGATAAGATTTGGGGTTGGTGCGTCTGCAGTGTTGTAATGAATGTTCGCAGCTAGGCTTTGTTGCAAGTCTCCATTGGCAGGCTGAGGTGGCTATGTTCTACTTTCAAGGGACATTTGCCTGTTTGCCAGTGTGTGTTCGCCGTGGTGTTCAAAAGGTCACCAACAGCGATGTCGTCATCATCAAAATCCATGGATTGCATTTGTCACAAAATGACAAAACACACCCTGTGCACCCAACAGACACTGATGTCACGGCGATGTCATGAACCCAGTCCACATGCAGAAAGTCCAGAATGCAATCTCCAACAGTGCCAAGGTCCAAGCGGATCCACTGCTCCTCACTGGGACCCCTTTTGCCATGCTCTGTGTGAGTTTGTTGATTTGGATTGCAGTTTGTTCATTCGGTGCTGTACTGCAGGAGCGTTCATGGGGGAGTCGGCAGGCGAGGCGCTCGAGCTGCGCTTGCTGCTCCATAATGTAGGGGCAGGACAGAGAGGACAGAATTCCCGCCAAGCTGGGAGCCTGCTCAGCACCCTGGCTGGACGCTTTCACCTAAGGATCTTGGGGCCCAGGCATTCCGTCAGACCTTGCACACCGTAACCCCTCGTGCAAGCGTGATCGCTGGCCGGTGCCCGCATCGCTGCAGGCCCCTGTGGCAACGGATCTCTTGAGGCCAGCATTGCGCATCCCACTGCAGGGTGGTGCATGACTGTTAGTCAAGCGCCGATTAGTCATGCTTTAGTTAGTCATGTGCTGATTAATCAGATGCGCTGACGGTGCAGGAGTTGCATCTGCAAGAGGGAGGTTGGTGTCCCATCCTGCACGTGACCCTTTGGGTTCGTGAGTGGTACTGTTGTGGGGCTTGAGCCGTATCAGCAGTGGCCTATGATGGAAGCGGACAGAAACTACTGCTATGTGGACAGTTGCCAGCTTTTGACAGGGGTAGTTTAGAGCTGGGCATTTTTATCTCCCATCAGAAGCTACGTGGAAGGTCCCTTTTGTGGGCTGCAGGTGGCAGATGTACATGATTGCGGTGGATTATGGGGAAGATAGTGGGGAGACAGTGAGTGCTGGAAAGGCATGGGTAAGATGTTTGGAGGGGAGCTGTGGGCCTTGGCGTGAAGCGTCAAGGTAGGTGAAAGCTGGGAGAATGTGCAGATGCAGACGCAGGAGGGGAGGGGTGAAAGGGGGGGGTTGTGCAAGAGATGATGAGTCATTGGATTTCTGTCACCAATCAATGCATGGCCTCCCACACGTGCGTTTTGATGCGGGGGAAATTGGTATTCATTTCATCACTTATTGGCCGATTTGGTGGGTTGCTTGGGTGGGGAGACACATGATATGCACAGGGCAATACCCTGTGGAATGCTGAATGTGGCGAATGCGATAGGAACGCTCTCATGTAGGAACTCGTGACTCCTAAAAAGGAAAGCTCGATTCCTAAATAACGGACACAAGGGGCGGGTGGGGATAGTTGGCGGCCCCTGGGCTGGAGGCACCTGGCCGGATGCTTTAGGACCTAGATCTGAGCTGTTTTAGGACCTAGCTGCGCGGCTGGAGGGAAACTTCGCTGTGTGGTTGGACCTCCTTTTTAAGGTGCCGAGATGCCTCTTGTCGATTGACGGGAGTTGTTGCATGCCAGATAAGGATGGTTGTCGGCGCAGTCCCCACAGGAAATAAAGCACTGGCGGTACTTTAGGCGACATGGGCGCGTCTGGTGCGGTGGTTGTTTCGACTAAAGTACTGCGCTAGTGGGCCGCTTGTCTGGAAGAGTGTTCATGGTTGTGGTTCGGTGCATTCTTCCATCGTTTTGATGCAGCCATGTAACGGTTTGGTGCGGAGAGCGGTGTGGAGTCGGGCACTTTGTCCAGTCTGGTGTAGGAGCCGAGTTTGGTATAAAAAGCCTTCTGTTTACCTTGGCGTGCCTGACCGTGTGAAAATTGCGACGCGACCCTTTTGGAGTCGTTGCGTTTGCTGCCGTATCCGAAGCAATCCATCGCCTTTCAGAACGTGATGTTCATTTTGTATTTTACAGCAATGCAGTAAACCGAGCGATACTCTAATCTGATCTTATGTACGGTTGTAAATCTTTTACTTCTTACGATTCCCTGTGTTACAGAGGGAGGAACTGTCGTGCTCTCTTCAGTTTGGGGAGATGCTGCATTTCCTTTGCTTGTCATACAGCGAGCGGAATTAGTGCTCCGGGAATGTTTTCATTGGCCAGGGTGACGCCGTTGCGATCTTGTAACGCTGAATGCCTAAAAGCAGTCCCTTATCTCTGTGTCCGGGCTACGCCATGATCCGTGCTTGGATGGGGGTGTATGGAAAACCCTCAAACTTGAAATCAATCTGAGCCTGCCAGGTATTCCGAGGTCCTCGCCTACGTCAGCGGATGACTCCAATCGGCATCACTAATCGAGCGCTTGATACACCCATCACACAGGACGTACAACTGTGCCGACCATGTTGTGCTCAGCATCAAATCCCCCAGGGGAGGGATGGGCAAGTTGTGGATTAGGTTAGATTACACTGTGTAAAGGCAACATAAGACGAGCCCCAAGTCGCGCTCAGCGTGTTGGATGATTTCCTAAGAGCACTCGCGGTCCATACTGCTTTCGTCCGGTGGCGATTGTGTCCAGCTTCCTTGCGGGCGCATCTGCAGACATTCCAGTCGCAGTGAGTGGGGCGAAGTTGATGATGTTGCTGATGGTGCGCCCTGGGGGCGGAAGGTGTCGTGGGCGGGCACTCTGCTGTCGTCCGCTTCCGGGCCAAGCAGCGGAGGGACGACCCTCGCAGTTGCCTGTGTAGTTTGCGCGCCAGTGGCCCAGAGGTTGCCGCCTCCATCTGGAACGACGAAGAACGTCAAAGGGGAGGACAGGGCTCTGCCGGTCTGACTGCGGATGAGGGCAAATTGGGAAGGCCGACGAGGGCACGAGCTTTGAGCGTGGTACGACCACGGCCGGCGACGCGGAGGCGGACTCGCATCCGCGGTGAGCGCGCAGCTGCCCAGAGATAGTTCGCACACAAGTTCCCCAGCCGTTCCCTTAGGCACCGTCTGCGAGAGTGCACACTGTGTACGAGCAGAACAAAGAGACGGCTGAAAAAATGGGCACGAACAATTGCTCTCACAGGTCGGCGGGAGCCTTGGGCAGGGTCACCATTGCCGAGGATGGCACCACAGGCTCGGGCCTCACAGCGAAACTGAGCTTCGGGTGTGGCGGCCCATTCGACATCACGACCGAGAATCCCTTCCGGGAAAGCAGGAGCGCGAGCTGGAGTGGTACTTTGAGGCGTGGCAGCGATTTCCCTTCACGGATGCCACAAAGGCGGAGAGGGCCGCGAGCAGCATCGAGGACTACGGCCCGAGGCGGTTTGGGCAGACATTCCTCGAGAAGAAGGCACTCAGGAAGTATGCCTGCTTGAAACGACAGGTGAGCTCGGTGGTGATCGAGATTATGAGTAAGACGCCGGCCTTCCAGGCCATCACTGGGAAGCCCTATGAGACCCAACATGGATACGGGCCCTGGAAGTGGATTGCTCAGTGAGATAACTCACGTTCAAAATGTCCCATTGCACATAGTGAAAAAGTGAGGTGTAAACGTGTACTTTCAAAAATTGGCGTGCTAGCAATATTGTCCGAATTGTGTTTTGACAATTCTGCAACATACTAGATATATTGTAGAATTGTTAAAGCACAATTTGGACCATATTGCTAGCGTATCAGATTCTGAAAGTACACATTTACACCTTATTTTTCACTGTGTGCAATGGGGCATTTTGAACGCAAGGGCGCACCACTGTAGTGCGCAAGCCGCGGGTGCGCGCTTCACCACCCAGAGAAGTTCAGCCTTCCTCAGTCATCAACCTCCTCCCGGTGGTGGCCAGATGCCGAGAGGGACTTTGGGTACCGGACGATCTCAAGGCCCCTGGTCGAAGCAGTGGCGGCTGGGAGGCTGAATGTTAGCGTGGAGCTCCTGCGACCTGGGACGTATACAGCCCTTTCAAGCCAACTGGACGCCAGGGAGCAGGGCTACTATCACATGGTGCATTTTGGCTGCCATGGGACGCTGTTGGACTACGTCAGTGCAAGGGAGGCGCTGGACTACAGAAGGGACGCAAAATATCGGTGTGGCAGAAAGCGCTTGAAGAGTTACGGGTCCAAGAAGGCGTTCCTGATGTTGGAACAGTATATTGACAGCGGTGCCGGCCTGGCGACAGCATATGAAACTGCCAAGTTGATGATGAGGCACCATGTCCCCATCTGCATACTGAATGCCTGCCAGTCGGGCAAGCAGCTGCGACAAGATGGCCCTGGTGATGAGGAACAAGGCGACAGCCCTGGCGCTGTGGAAAAACCAGCTTGGGAAGTGTGCTGGTGACTTGTGGGCTGCTGCTAGTGGTGGCCTTGGGTTACAGGGTGGCGACCTCGGCTGCACAAGCTCTGATGAAGGCAATGCACAGCCGCCTGTTTGATAAGGGGCCCATGTTGGAGGCCCCACAGTTGGGGTGCCTGCAGCCGTATCTCCACAGCATTGACGTGGATCTGGAAGACTGGATGCTGCCCATCGCCTACACGAACGGTGCCACAGTTATATGCCTCCAAGACATTCAGGGCTCCAAGCTGTGGCAGGTGCTCTCCAATCAGCGGCAGAGCCAGGGCCTGCTCGTGGAACCCAGGTGCGGCTTCGTTGTACTGAACCTGGAAATTTTTATGATTGAGAAAATGATGCTTCAGCACAATGCTCTTCTGTTGCACCGGATGGTTGTGGCAGGGAAGTCCACTCTGATCACCCACCTGTATGACTGGTGGAAGGTGATTCGTTTTGTGCACAAAGCGTGTTTTACTTTGGACATGATCGCCGGCCATGGACTTTGTAACAGATTCTGTTTGCTCAGCTCGCCTGTGGTGAACAGGCACTGTGCAGGTTACCAACCAAGGGTCCGTGTCAAAAATGACTGTATTGCTGGCAATGCACAATGATAAAAATGCATTGATCCTGTACAAAATAGAGTTGATGGCGGCCCATGAGCTTGCCATACCAAACAGAGTGCCAAGCGTGGAGCAAAGGCAAATCCAGAATTTTCTGGAGCAGCTAGTGCAGGGACGGACAAAATTATGATAGGCTCCCGCAGCGGTGAAGAATGGTTGTATGACGTGCTCGGTGATAATGTGTACCACCTGCAAGGGCTGGATCCGCTGTCGCGATCCGTAGTGGCACACAGACTACTTCAACAAACAGTTTGCAAGAAGCCTCGAATCCTGGAAATGCTACAGAATCCCAATTATTAGTGGCTGGTGGAGACCATGGCTAGATACCCCAGGTGGTGCTCACAAATCTAGAGCAGCAATCTGCTGGAAAGATTCTGTTTTTGGGGGGGGAGGGGGGGGATTCGACGTTCAACTGCATGTACCCTCTGACGACAAGGCCCAGAGCATCGTGAGCTGCATCCAATATTCGTACAAGGTCATGTCCACTCAAA